TGTATTCTGCTATATATTTCATGTTATAACAGTCTCGGATGTTGTTGTTTTAAGAACACTTTCACTGCAGAGTTGACAAAATGCAAAGAAGGTACCAATGTGAAATTTCTAAAGATAGCTACAGCACTTGACCCAAGGTTTAAGAATCTAAAGTGCCTTCCAAAATCTGAGAGGGACGAGTTGTGGAGCATGTTTTCAGAAGTCTTAAAAGAGCAACACTCCAATGCAGAAACTATAGAATCCAAACCACCAAAAAAAGAAAATCAACCTTCTGTTGGTGGCATCTGACTCAGATGATGAAAATGACCATGCCTTGATCCGTACTGCTTTGGATAGTTATTGAGCAGAACCCATCATCAGCATGGACACATGTCCTCTGGAATGGTTGTTGAAGCATGAAGGGACGTACGAATCTTTAGCACAGGAGTCTCAAACATGCGGGTTATTTTCTGCAACACCCTCCCTCCCAGCGTTTACCTAGAGCGGCTCTGGCCCAGCGCACACCGGGGGCAGGGCAGGCTCCCTGCCTGTCTGCCCTGCCCCCGTGCCACTCCAGGAAGCGGCCAGGACCTGGGAGAGGGGGTGCACAGGGATCTATGTGTTGCCCTGGCCGCGCCTCCAGGTACCTCACCCGAAGCTCCCATTGGCCGCCGTTCCCCGTTCCCAGCCAATGGGAGTTGCGGGGGGCGGTGTCTGGAGGCACAGCCAGGGCAACACAAAGACCCCCATTTGCTCCCCCCCCCAGGTTCCGGCCACTTCCTGGAGCTTCCTGCCCCCCCCCCCGGTGCGCTCTGGGCCAGAGCCCGGCCCCCAAACCCCTCCTACAGCCGAACCCCCTGCCGCACTCTGCACCCCTCCTGCACTCCGACCCCCTGCTGTGAGCCCCCTGCTTCACCCTGCACTCTGACCCCCTGCCCTGAGCCCCCTGCCTCACCCCGCACCCCTCCTGCACCCTGACCCCCTGCCCTGAGCCCCCTGCCTCACTCCACACCGCTCCTGCACCCCCTGGGGTCAGGGGGAGGGCAGAGTTGGGGTGGGGATTTTGGGGAAGGGGTTGGAATGGGGGCAGGGAAGGGGTGGGAAGAGGTGGGGCAGGGGAGGGACCTCATGGAAGGGGTTGAGTGGGGGTCGGGCCAGGGCAGCTGAGGGGCGGTCAGTGATGCGGCCCTCGGGCCAATGTATTTGTCCTCATGTGGCCCTCGTGGTCATTTGAGTTTGAGACCCCTGGTTAAGATGATAGGAAGGAGGCCAGCTACAGCGGTACTATGTGAATGCCAAGTGACACTGTAAACAAGAACTGGTCAGCATTATCTCCTGCAAATGTAAACAAACTTGTTTGTTTGAGTTATTGGCTGAACAAGAAGTAGGACTCAGTGGACTTGTCAATTCTAAAATTTTACATTGTTTTATTTTTGAATGCAATTATTTTTTATACATAATTTTACATTTGTAAGTTCAACTTTCATGATAAAGATATTGCGCTACAGTATTGTTAAACTGATTAATCGCCATTCATTTTTTTGAGTTAATTGTGTGAGTTAACTGCGATTAATTGACCACCCTCGTTAAGAGTAATCTGGGTTTGTTAATTCTCTGAACTATTTTCTCTTATCAGGACTGAAGCATTTTAAATAATGTAAAGCAGATTTTAATAACTTCATTACTTCACTACCTGAACTCAATTACGATGATATTCTTTGCAGAATATAGACATTTGAGGTTAATTCTCACCTATAACAAATAAATTATTTTAAATACATTTTAGTGAAAATTTTAAAAAGAAGCAACTAGCTTTATTATCTAGATAATCTCAGGCTGTTTGCTTCCTGTCTCCAGTAAAGCATTAAAATATTTAATATAAAATAGGACTACTTGTGGCACCTTAGAGACTAACAAATTTATTAGAGCATAAGCTTTTGTGGGCTACAGCCCACTTCATCGGATGCATAGAATGGAACGTATAGTAAGACGAGATATATATGTGTGTATATATATATATATATACACACACACACATACATATATACAGAGAACTTGAAAAGGTGGAGTAAGAGGCTAATTAATTAAGATGAGCTATTATCAGGTGCCACAAATACTCCTGTTTTTTGCGAATACAGACTAACATGGCTGCTACTCTGAAACCTGTCATAAAACAAAACAGTATTTCACTTTACAGCATTGGTGCTAAAGTCCATGTCTATTCAAAGAGTTCAATACACATAAAATTAAAAATATTCCCAGGCAGTGAGTTGTCTCACATGTTCTGATTCATGCAAAAGATTTTTGTCAGTATCAGTTAGATAATATGCTTTGTTTAATTCTAATCCTATTTTGTGGATGCTCCTTTTCTGTGATGCTTACAAAAATCTTGACAATGGTTAGACTGCTGGTGTATGGAGACCACATCCTATTATACTGACCAATATTCTCTCATTGGTTCACTGTACTCCCTCGGGATCTGTATACATCTGTTCTCTCATCTTATACTGAGGGCTTGTCTACACTACAAAATTAAGTCAACTTGATCTAGTTCGACCTTGAGCCTCCGAATTAAGTCGATTGTGCGTTGCCACGCCATGCTCGTTGTCTCGTGGAGTGCGTCCTCACTAGCAGTCTTGCATTGGCACACAAAGCAGTGCATCTTGGGTAGCTGTCCCAAAGTGCAACTTGCCGTAGTATGTCTTGGGAAGTTTGTGCAATGCCTCATGGGACCAAAACACTGTCATAGTGGAGAATGGGAACATTGCGTCGGCATACCATGATGCACTGTGCTCTCTCCCTCATATCAACAGCAAACAACCCAGTGGTTTTCGCGCCTTAAAATTGCCATGCGTACACCATAACCCCAGAAGCATGGCGCCTGCTCAGTTATGCACTCTCGCTATGAGCGTCTCAAACACCTCGCACCTTCTTCTTCAGTATTTCCAGACCCGAAGTAGGGCCCGCCACACAGAACATAGCGATGTCCTGCAAGCAGCCCTGCTGTAAGCTATTGAAAAAAAAAAACAATTCACATTTACTGCTGGCAGTCACAGAGCAGCTGCACTCTGTTGAGCACCGTTTCTGGTCCCATGAAACAAGCACTGACTGGGTGACCGCATCGTTTTGCAGGTATGGGATGACGAGCAGTGGCAGCGGAACTTTCAAATGCGGAAGGCCACCTTCCAGGAACTTTGTGCAGAGCTTTCCCCTGCCCTGCAGTTCAGCAACACAAAAAATGAGAGCTTTTCCCCTCGGCGACCCTATGTTATATCAGTCTCCTGAGGGTAACAGAGGCGGAAAGGAAGGAGATGCTGCAAGCGTCTGGGTGTAGACCCGGTCCTTATGCTGCTGTGCTGTGTACCGCAATGATGCCAGCAGAATTAATTCAGGAGTTGCGTGGGAAAGTATCCTACCATGGTGGAAGAAATAAGACTGCCCTGCCCAGAAACCTTCTGCGAAGGATTGCAGAGTACCTCATTGAAAGTTTCCTAGAGATATCCCTGGAGGATTCCCGGGCTATCGCAGTCCACATAAACAGTCTTTTCCAGGGGCCACCCTCTGCGTAGCTGGAACGGCCTCTTTTAAGCAGAGAACCAGAGCACCTTGCTGCTTCTTAACAGTAAACATGCAATACCACCGAATGTGTGTGCCCATTAAAGTTTAACTGAACTTTGATTGTAACTGTATACTCATCAGAGGTGCCTTTTCTGGCATCACAGTCGGCCACAGTGATGTCCTGCGACCCACAGGGCTCCAGGGTTAAAAATATTTCCTGGCTCATGGGGAGAATGGATCCACTGCTCGCCTGTCTCCCATTATCCTCCTCTTCCTCATCCACCATAGAATCCTCCTTGTTGTCCCTAGATTCACACACCTGTGAGGTGTCCACGTTGCTTCTGGGGGTGCTGGTAGGGTCACCCCTGAGAATAGCATGCAGCTCGTTGTAGAACTGGCATGTGTGGGGTTCCGCACGAGAACGACTGTTTGCATCTGTTGCCTTCTGTTATGCTTGGCGAAGTTTTTATTTTCACACAGCACTGATGTGCGTCCCGCTTGTCACCCTTCTCCCCCATTCCACGAGTGATCTTTGCATAGATGTCAGCGTTTCTTCTTCTGGATTGGAGCTCTGCCTGCACAGACTCTTCTCCCCACACAGCGATGAGATCCACCACCTCCTGTGCAGAACAGGCTGGAGCATGTTTGGAGCATGTAGTCTCTGTGATCAACTGTGCTCAAGCTGGCATGCTCCCAATGCTTAGGAAATGGGAAATCAAACATTCCCGGGGCTTTAGCAGGGGAAGGACTGTTTCCTGTGTACCTGGCTGCAGTGCAGCAGAGTTGAGAATGATCACCAGAGTGGTCACAGACACCACCTGGAGGCCAATTAAGTCAAATTACACAATGCTGCATCTGCACTACCTCACAGTCGACCCATGAAAATCAAATTAAGCACTATGCCTCTCGGAGAGATGGAGTACAGAAGACGACATTAGAGGCGACTTAGGTCGGCATAACGGACCCGGTAGTATAGACACCTACTTTAACAGGTCGACTTAAGGCAGCTTCCTTCGACCTAACTTTTTAGCGTAGACCAGGCCTTAGATTGGGTCTGGGACCATCTTTTATTCTGTGTTTTGTACAGTACTGTGGGCTCCTAGGCACTACAGTAATGCTAATATAATATGTTATGTGTGTAGTTCTGCTGTTTTAACCGCTGTCATTTAGTGTTCTGTTATGAATGAAGATCCTAAAAAAAAAGGCGATCGTTTGTTGCTTCTTAGCATCTAGACTTTCACATGAATGGCACTATATGCCCCTGAGATTTCACTAAACCCCCCAAAAATTATCTGTTAACAATGTGAGTGTTATCTCTTACTATCATATGGCTTCCAGTCCCTGTGCCCCCAGGCAGTTTTCTCAAAACTGTGTACCTCAAAAAAGTATACACCTGTGGAGCCAGTTCCCTTCTCCGACTGTTTTATTACCTGGAATATAAATTCTCTCTTTGTATCTTCCAGGGAACTCCAGTATTTGTGCATGCTGGACCCTTTGCTAATATTGCACATGGGAACTCTTCAGTTTTGGCAGACAAGATTGCCCTGAAGCTGGTTGGAGAAGGAGGATTTGTGGGTAAGGATTTTTGGGGGTTTTTTTGTTTTTTTGTTTTTTTCCATTTTATTATTATTATTACTCTCTCATGACCAGTTCCTGTCAGTTGTTGGGTTTAGTGTGAGGGTGGTGGTGGTGGCTTGTGATAGACTACATGATCGGATGGTTCCTTCTGGTCTTAAACTCTGACTGTACAACAAGGCGCCAAACAATAGCTGCATAGCTGCCGCAATCCATAAGTTAATATTGAAGGATAAAATTGTAGTGACGAACTATATTGCTAGTGTGTTCCAGACTGAAGTTGAGAATATTGTTTAATACGTCTTCAAAAGTCATAGTGTAAAAATGGCAGCTTCTTACCCTGTCTCTGGTCTGTTCACATTACTAACTACATCCCTAGCCTGCACTGAGAGTCACGTGAACGGACAGAGCCCTATTAACACCAAAGAGGTTCTGTGGATTTCCACTTGCACAGTTCTTATTGCAGGACCAGGGCCTAAAATACATTTTTACTACTTATTAGCAGTTCAGGACCAATACAGATGTGGGAGAGGACTGGATTCTATTATAGCTCAAATCTCTCAGCAGAATGATTAGTTAAATTACAAAAAATTTTAGTAGTGGAGATATCAGAATCAGAAAGAATTCATCTTGAGTTTTAGATTCCAGGTTGAGGTTGTACTGCTGACATTTAGAAATAGAAAATTGTTTACATGTAAACGGACTAAATTTTATATGAAAGTCAAACATGGAATCTGATGGAACAGTTTCAAGTAACTTTTTAATAGTATAATTGCTATTTAAATACTCCTCCACTGTGTTGTGAATCCAAACAAAAACAGCACAGTTGGAGAGCAGGAGAACCAGAAAGTCTCTTTCTAACTATTTAAACTGAGTAAAACGCAAAATAAATGCAGACCTTACATAATGAAACGTAAATTAGTTTTTCAATAGTCTTGTTTATTAATAATCTCAAAATTAAAAGTAAAGATTCTTTTTATCATTCCCAGAGTTATGCGGATATAAATTGATGATTCTGGTTAAGCAAATGTAAAGATGTTTTTGTAAAATAAGGTGCTATGTAATGGTAAGTTGTTAAACAGACACAGCTATATTTTTACTTCATTCCAAACATATTCTAATCAATATTAGACATTTTCTCTTTAGAACCATTTTGTCCTTTTCCATTCAGCGTTTTCATAAAATGGCATTACGATAAACATGCTCATTTGGTCTGTTTTCATGAACAATGTATAACCTACAAAAGAAGGGTGGGCTATGCAGTGCAAGCTTGGTAAGTAAGAATTTGTATTTCTGGATGTCAAGGTCAGCAGTAGATTAAACATTCCTAAAACAAGTTCATGTGCCTTGTCCTTTTAGCATGCACATGTACATCGTACAGAGAGGTGAGGCTTTTATTTTGTGAAAACATTTCAGTTACTGCTGCCTATTTCTCTGGTTCCTGCTGAGTTCTAAAATATAAACATCTTGGGTAAGGGAAGATTTTTTTTTTTTAATCCTCACTGTAGATATCAAAGGTAACACTGAATTTCTTACAATTTAGTTATTTTTACAAATATGCTTGTGATGACTGAAAACAAACTGCCCTGCTTTTCTAACTTTTCACATCTTGGAATCCCTAGCAATCTTAGATGCAGTTTATTTTTACTATGACTACGTTGGGAAACTGAATGACTTACTATCTAACCTATTTTGTCACCACATAACACCATGGCTAACAGATCTCAAGTGTACGGATAAATGTCAGTGGTATGTGTCTGCACCCTTTGAGGAGTTGTGCTCACCCTTTGTCAAGGAAGTTCCCATCTAGGGATTCTCTGAAACCTTGTGTGCCCTTGGATTCACAGGTAGCAGTGGAAGAGAGTCCTTTTATCCACTGATGGATTGGCTTTGACATTATGACTTTTTATAGCTGTGTGGATGTGAACTTTCCCAGAATTGAATCAAGTTATTCATCTAACATGTTAACATTAAAATCCTCCATAAGTAGTAGCTTGCTATTAGGGAGACTTTATACAGGATAGAGTACAAAACTGGCAGTGAACTCTTTGGGGTATTATCTTTAGCAAAAGTTTCTTCCATTTCTGATCTTAATGCTGGAGAGAGTCATATATATATGCATGTTTTATACCCAGACATTGGTATAAACTGCACACAGAGGACAAATTCCTCTCTCAAAAGAAGTTGAATATTGAATTTATCAGCTTACCCTACCAAATCAAAATAATTGGTCGGGTATGTGGGGATCTGAGACAGTTACAGATGGTTTGTCATTCACTGTGCTGTAAACCAAACAAAATTCACCCAGGTAGAGAAAAAGAAGGTAGTCTTGCATAAGATGATGATAATGAGCCTTATAAAAATAATGCAAACATATGTATAGAGGAAAACTTTTTAAAACATATTGAAGCTGAATAGCCATAATAACTGTGATGAATTAAACCCCATGAAAATCAACATTGGATATAACAGAAGATACATTAACTGTGTAAAGTATCTGTTCATTATACCTTTTCTCTACAATTTAAGTACCAGAGGAGATTTAAAACCAACCAGATGTAAGGGACCGGGGCACAGGTGGTCTGGCCCAGCAGTCACAGCTCGGCTGGAATCTGCACATGAGGGACTGTAGACGGTGAGCAGGAGTTGGAGAATCATAGAATATCAGGGTTGGAAGGGACCTCAGGAGGTCATCTAGTCCAACCCCCTGCTCAAAGCAGGACCAATCCCCAATTAAATCATCCCAGCCAGGGCTTTGTCAAGCCTGACCTTAAAAACTTCTGAGGAAGGAGATTCCACCACCTCCCTAGGTAGCGCATTCCAGTATTTCATCACCCTCCTAGTGAAAAAGTTTTTCCTAATATCCAACCTAAATCTCCCCCACTGCAACTTGAGACCGTTACTCCTTGTCCTGTCATCTGCTACCACTGAGAACAGTCTAGAGCCATCCTCTTTGGAACCCCCTTTCAGGTAGTTGAAAGCAGCTATCAAATCCCCCCTCATTCTTCTCTTCCGTAGACTAAACATCCCCAGTTCCCTCAGCCGCTCCTCATAAGTCATGTGTTCCAGTCTCCTAATCATTTTTGTTGCCCTCCGCTGGACTCTTTCCGATTTTTCCACATCCTTCTTGTAGTGTGGGGCCCAAAACTGGACACAGTACTCCAGATGAGGCCTCACCAATGTCGAATAGAGGGGAGTGATCACGTCCCTTGATCTGCTGGCAATGCCCCTACTTATACATCCCAAAATGCCATTGGCCTTCTTGGCAACAAGGGCACACTATTGACTCATATCCAGTTTCTCGTCCACTGTAACCCCTAGGTCCTTTTCTGCAGAACTGCTGCCTAGCCATTCGGTCCCTAGTCTGTAGCTGTGCATTGGGTTCTTCCGTCCTAAGTGCAGGACTCTGCACTTGTCCTTGTTGAACCTCATCAGATTTCTTTTGGCCCAATCCTCCAATTTGTCTAGGGCCTTCTGTATCCTATCCCTACCCTCCAGCATATCTACCTCTTCTTCCAGTTTAGTGTCATCTGCAAACTTGCTGAGGGTGCAATCCACACCATCCTCCAGATCATTTATGAAGATATTGAACAAAACCAGCCCCAGGACCGACCCTTGGGGCACTCCACTTGATACCAGCTGCCAACGAGATATGGAGCCATTGATCACTACCCGTTGAGCCCAACAATCTAGCCAGCTTTCTATCCACCTTATAGTGCATTCATCCAGCCCATACTTCTTTAACTTGCTGGCAAGAATACTGTGGGAGACTGTGTCAAAAGCTTTGCTAAAGTCAAGGAACAACACGTCCACTGCTTTCCCCTCATCCACAGAGCCAGTTATCTCGTCATAGTAGGCAATTAGATTAGTCAGGCATGACTTCCTTTGGTGAATCCATGCTGACTGTTCCTGATCACTTTCCTCTCCTCTAAGTGCTTCAGAATTGATTCCTTGAGGACCTGCTCCATGATTTTTCCAGGGACTGAGGTGAGGCTGACTGGCCTGTAGTTCCCAGGATCCTCCTTCTTCCCTTTTTTAAAGATGGGCACTACATTAGCCTTTTTCCAGAGAAATCCACTAGAGCAACAGTTCTCAAACTTCATTGCATCATGATCCCCTTCTGACAACAAAAATGACTACATGACCCAAGAAGGGGGGGGACCTAAGATCGAGCCCCGCCACCTCGGGCGAGGGAGGGGGTCAAAGCTGAAGCCCAAGGGCTTCTGCCCTCGTTGGGGGGCATGTAACCTTAGCCCTGGGCCGGGGCGGAGGTGCAGGCTTGGGCTTCAGCCCTGTTGCAGTGGGGCTTGGATTTCAGACTTGCTGGGGCCCAGGGTCAACACCAGCCTTGGAGACCCTGACCCATTTTGGGGTCCTGACCCACAATTTGAGAACCTCTGAACTAGACCCAGGTTTGGTAAGCAAGCATCAGGCTAGAGTCAGAGTCAGATTCATGCTGGGATCTGAGACTGGAGATCAGAAGACCCAAAGTCTGTGTGGTTGCCCAGATAATTTCCTAGGACACCCTCCTGGGTTAAATAAGGTGCTTGGCCAATCAGAGGGCTGCAGGATAATGTCACTCTGAGTCCTTTGGGTTGTACTTCTTGTGGTGCCTACTTTTCAAAGTGCTCCCTGGTTGTGGGTCTGCATGGCCTCCCAGTGGTACTGTGGGAATGTTTGCAGACCCAGGTTCTAGTCCATGGATCCTTACAACAGGTAGAAATTGCTTGATTTGTCTGTATTTCATTAACTTGAATTTTATCTTTTTTTTTTATATATACTATGGATTTACCATTCACTTATCACAGGATATTCATCTTGCACAGGTCATTTTTTAATCTCTCCTAATACTACTGTCCTTGGAAACAAAGACTCACGAAACGAGGATTTTTTTTTTATTTGTTTGTTTTTTCCTGAACAGCAGCAAAATTAGTTGCATAAAATCATTTTGGATAAAGTTTTTTTTAATTTTTTTTTAATTTTCAAAACATTGAAAATCA